ATGGCGGCCCTGACACTGCTCGTTACGTTTGTGATCATTTATTTCAACATTTCCAAGGTTCATCTTCTCTTTGTTTTTCTTTTCTTAATGTGTGTTTTGCCAATTTTTGTCTGTTTTATTACTATTTAAAAATGTTAAATTTTCTAGTAGTTGATTAGGTCGATTGAAGTAGGGAAGGTCAATTAAGGCAGAGAATTTGGTTCAAGAATGCTTGCATTAGGGTAGGCTGTCTATATTCATCCCGTGGGTGCGGCCCTTCCCTGGACCCTGCATGAATGCGGGATGCTTTGTGCATCGGGTTATTAAGAAATGTTGCTTCAAGAATGAGGAAAGGCTAGGCCTTATAAGTCTAATTAGTTGAGGTTACAGGGCTGGAGGGAATCCTTTGAGTGGATTCTGCGTTAGCTCAAGTGTCGGTCTCTAACTAGAAAAGTAAATGCCTGAGCTTTAGTGAGAATGGCCTCCTTGCTTCTTTGCTCGAACCACTGACCTTTAAGTGAACCTATGGGACAAAAGGAAAGGCACCCCTTGGTTATATGATATTTTTGTATTATTCCTCTTTATTTAGGTCCATTTCATTCTACTACTAGATAAGCTGCATCACCGAATCTTGTAATTTCTGCTAGCAGTACCATTGTACAATTGAAAAAAATCACTCTTGAGAATCCTCATTACAGAAATTCTGTCTTTAGGTAGTACATCTTTTGCTGATGTAGTCTAGTTTGGGATTGAAGCAGTGTTACTTCTGTCGTTGGTTTTCATTTGTCGTTAAGACATTACTCTTTTAAAGTGTGCGTATTTCTCTACTGGTAGGAAATGTAACTATGTAAACATTTAACTCAAACAAATGCCCAATATATTTCACAAATGAAGAGTACTCATGGATGAAATTCAAATACTCACAGTTCAGAGGCAGAAAAAAGAAATTCCTTCCATCTACTTTGCTGATGTGATCCTGTGAAATATTGGAGAAGGGTGGTCCTTACCCTTCATTTGGCTGTTCGGCTCCATTAACATCTCTAACTCCCCAATCCCCAAAAACCAGAGGGCTCAAGTGCCCGTGGATGCTGCTATTGTTTTTGTAAAATCAGTCTGTCCCTTTGTCCTAAATATTTTAGATTTGGCCTTTAGAAAAAGAAAGCTCTATGTTGGTTTCATGGATTTTAGTCTTAACGCAGCAGCATCAGCTGAAGGAAATGGTGTTGTAACAGCGGAGACAATTCAAAGGGCTTTTCTTGAGACAGAGAGAGGGTTTACTTCTCTTGTTTCAGAAAATTGGAATTCTCGACCACAGATGGCGACAGTGGGGTCATGCTGCCTGGTTGGAGCTATATATCAGCAGACACTTTTTGTAGCAAATCTTGGTGACTCTCGTGTAGTCCTTGGAAAGAAGGTTGGAAACACTGGGGAAATTGCTGCTATACAGCTCTCAACGGAGCATAATGCCAACATTGAGTCTATTAGGTGGGAGCTAAAAGACTTGCATCCAAATGATCCACAAATCGTTGTTCTTAGACATGGCGTTTGGAGGGTAAAAGGAATAATTCAGGTAAAATCAACTATAAGAAGAGCTCTTTTATAAAATTATGAAAAAAACCTTCCAAGTTCTCCCCGTACCCCCCATATTCCTATATTTGGTCCGTGCATAGGATATGCATAGAAACTTTGACGTGTATCTGCAGCTTTAGTTATTTTCATACGGCAGAGTTTCCCCCAAGTTATATCTGAAACAAAAGACTTTGGTAAGAATGATGTTATTTGCTAGGGCCTATGGCCACTTACAGTATATAAATTTAAATTGAGCTTACCTCAACTTTTTGCTGGAGAACTACCATACTACGGATGCCCATATGGTGTAATAATGAACTAAAGTAATCGGAATTTTGTGTAGAAAAGTAAATTTTAACTTTCAATATGACTTCATACTTTATAGAAAAATTGATATGCCTCTCAAAATATCTACTGTTTCATGGATTTTATATTTTCATCAATAGGATAAAGAGGTTTTTGTTAGCTGAGAACATTATTAGTCTATGGTTGGTCTGTTTGTACCTGCATGTCATGCTTTCAAGTTGAAGTTCTTCTACAATTATTGCTTTTCATGGATACTAGAAGTCATTCTTGTAACTTACGTCAAAATCGGTCTCCTTAACTGACTGCAGGTGTCAAGATCCATTGGTGATGTTTACCTTAAACACACCAAGTATTGCAGGGAACCAATAAACGGAAAATTCAGAGTTTCTGAACCCATTAACATGCCTGTCCTGTTGGCTACTCCATCAATTTTAACACATCCTATACACCCAAATGACTCCTTCCTCATATTTGCTTCTGATGGTCTATGGGAGCACTTGAGCAATGAGAAGGCCGTTCAAATTGTTCAGAGTCATCCTCGTAAAGTAAGTTCTATGCACCATAATATCACACCTTTCCTGCATATTGAGTTCACATTTTAGGTTTAATACACTTCTCTCATGGGCAGGCTATGACTTCAAATACATGTTTACATTTGATGATATACATAATTGGTTTTTTCTTTTTTGATAATTCAAAAATTATATCTTCAGGCGTTACTCGTCTTCTAGGTTGTCAAGCCCTCTGGCATTTCCAATTAGAATTTCAGCAACTTGTAGATGACTTGCCTAATCTCTTTCCATTATTTCTACCCTGAATATTTTCCTTATTTCTCCTGTCATAATTTTTTGAAAAGTCTATCTCTTTAACACAAAAGATTCTTTCCTTTATATTCAGAGGGTGAGAGATACAGTCTTGTTCCCCTTCCGAGTTCTATTCTCCTTTTGATCTCTTTCAATTCTTGTAAGTATGGACAATGCCTCTTCGTGATCTTTGTTAAATGAAATGCCCAGACCTTCCAAATCTAGATTGATATGCATCTGCTGGGTGTATTTTATCCATATGGTGAAAGAAAAAGTAACAGAAGTGTATCAAGATATCATGCATATTTTAGAAGAGCATTATACCATTTGGATGATAATCAAATATAACTTTGATCTTGGGAGCACACCAGCAATGAAGCTACTCAAGCTTCGAGAACATAGTTGAAGCTCCATTGAGTTGCTAAGTAATTTCTGAGTAATCCTGTAAACTCAGTTAAGTTGTATTCGTATCATCTTTCTCTGCCATACCAAATGACAGAAGTCTTATCCTTTTTCTCTTTTACGGTTCACTTTATTTTTATGTAATTAGATTTTTTTATTATTCTTCTGTATTAGGCGAGGTTTTCTGCTTCTTAATGGATTTAAAGTTCTGTAAGTCTTATGGCTCGAGATTTCCCTCTGTGTGTGTGTAGACACATATTGCACATTTTGACTCTTCCAAAGAGATAGTTTAAACTCCTTGGCCCTATTGACATATTCTGGTATGCATTCTTGAATATGAAAAACACATCTTTTCACTGTTTCATGCTCATGATTTTCTTGCAAATACAGGGAAGTGCAAAGAGGCTTGTTAAAGCTGCTCTCCATGAAGCTGCCAAAAAGAGAGAGATGCGATATTCGGATCTTCGAAACATCGGCAAAAAGGTCCGGCGTCATTTTCATGACGATATAACTGTCATTATTTTATTCTTAAACTATGACCTCATATATAGAGGCGTTGTGCAAGATCCTCCACTTTCTATACGTAGTGCACTAGAACACTGATTGTTGAAGGAATCAAATTTTTTGAGGTTCTTGCACAACACCAAAATTTTCCTTGACATGCGGCTTCAGGAGCAGCTAGCATCAGTGAAGCAACTATGGTGTATAGGAGTGCTTTTTTCCTTTGAAAAGGCTTATAATTTGAATTGCTCAAACCTTGTGTAGATGGAGTTCAAGAATAATGCTAATTTAAAAGTTTTGGATGCAGTCAACCTCTATGTAATAGCCTTCTTTCATTATTAATTTATTTTGTATACCAGTTTTTGCTTCTGTATTCTGAAGTTTTTTGTTAATTTTTTTGTAACATCGTTGCAAGAAAAAGTTCGCCACAAGAGAATAATGGCACTTTTGTACTCGAAAGACGATTTTGCTGTGTTCTTATTATTTAATTGGCTGGTCCCCTGATTACAAGAAGAAAAACAGCTTATTTCCCTTTGAAGAGAACATTTATTTGACCAGTCGAATAATCTGCTAGACTTTTACCTCAGTATTATCTCCTCTTAGATTTTGTGTGTGTAGTTCTTTATTGCAGGAATCATATTCTTCACAGAACACAAGGAATATGGTGCCTTGGTTCCAAGAACTTGGAGAAATATTGGGGTCGCTTTCCCATCTTGCAAGCCGAGCTGCAGATTGATATTGAATATCACATTTTTATTCAATTCATTTTGAGCTTCATCAGCCTTCCTAAAAAAAAAAAGAAGGCAAAAAGAATGAAAAAACAACAAAGTCGTCTTTGACTATGTGTGCTCCTCTTTTGTTGCTTCTAGCTCCAGTATCTTATTATAGTGAACAGCCTCATCTAATTTTGTGTACAGCCATATTTCTTACTTTCCATTTGTTTAGCTAGGTGGTTTCCTGCCGAAAGCACAATCTGGAGATTGACAAGTAGGGGCGGATCTAGGAGTTAAAGAGTCCCTGGATCTGGAGTTCTTACTAGCTTGAGGAGCATCGCTCTTGAAACAGTAAGTTGAATTCTCTTAATATATACCAAATCTAATGGATTCTCTCTCTCTCTCTCTCTCTCTCTCACACACACACACACACACACACACACACACACATAAGGTTGGAGCCAAAAGCAATCCAAATCCACTACATATATAATATATTCGCCCTGTTGGCATACATCCTTGCTTTTCCGCATGCAGTCTTTATTGTTCTCTTAATTTTCCTTTTTTTTCCCTTTTCCAATGTGGATGGCTAACAATAACAACGGTAAGTATTGAAAACAATGGCATAAAGTTCTCTTGGCTACCTATAGCCGAGCATTTCGAAAGGAAGGGGAAAAAGAAAGTAAAAAAGAAACAATGGAATCTTCAACAGAGACGCACTAGAATATGATTTGAAAAAGGACAATTTCTAACAAATACATTATACAAAATCTGTGGGATTGAGTGAAGATGAAAACTGAATATGCTATTTTCTATGTGCAACAGACTTACTAATCCAGTGCTTTACTTTACTAGCTGTGTGAAAAATTGAATGCAAATAATGCAAATCACTAAGAGATACTTTGCATGGGTCCTCTAACCAAGATTAACCAAAACCGTAAAAGCCAATGATGATACAGCAACCTTGACATCCTAGAACAAAACAATCTCTTCAAAGCCAAAACTCGGTGATGTAACAGCTACTTGCTCCAAAAGTAAAAAAACAGATCATGAAGACAGTAGTTTCACAAAAAAGGATCTGCAAGAACATGAATTCTTTGCTCAGTGAAGGAGATCCATCTTCTACAATTAGCCAACAGTAGGTAATCTAATATGTCTATGATAAGTTATTATTGAAAGCGAATACATATGATCTCTCTTCCAATAAAACAAAAGCGATAGAGGCAGCTACTTATGCAGCTGCAATTAAAAAAATTATGAGCGCAGGACATTTCTGAACTTCTGACATCTTCATCAGCCAAAACTAACAGGCTATGTAAGACTTAGTTTTAACAACTTAAGTTTGGATCTCACTAGACAAAAACTTTCAAGAGGTTAATTTACCAAGCCTAACAATCTGAAGAAGAATTTTATTACCATGCAATATGGAATGTAATGCAAAGTTACATCCAATTGCTTGGTAGATTCACAGGTTATGTTGTAAAGATGGGGAACTAACATAACAATAACAATGATGTAATTTCAATGAGCCAGGATTCTAAACAAAAATGGGTTCTTGTGAAGATGTTGGTAAAAGGAAAAGGCCCTTTCCTCAAGGGTATTTGTTACTGACAATAAAAGGAACCTCTCATGTTAGCTATAAGCCTATAACTGAACATTCTTGGTTCGGTAATGCTGCAGTTGATCAATTCAATATCTTCTAAGTTCTAACTGAGTATCTTAGTTAATGTTAAGCAGCATTTTCTTAAGGAGCTTTGTCACTGTCTGGTTTTCTTCTCTTGAGGGCTCTAATCTTCAAATTTAGTCCTATTGAGCTTCTGCTTCTTCTATAAGAAATACCAATAACTTTCCAGTTGAGCTTTTTTTCCTGTCCTGTTATGACAAAAGCTAACATGACATTGTGACTTGTAAGTTATAACTGAAATGACCATATGGTAAATGCCCAAGACAGACCACAACAAACACAATGGACGTATATAAAATCTCCCTGTTTTAAGATGATAACATCGTTAATCAAGAAAATTCAATTTTACCCAGAGTAACATGCATCTCCGAATATTATGTTCTTCCTTTTCCTTTTCTACTGTTTGAGTTACTTTCTTGTGTTTTTTTTCTTGTCATTGTTTAAGAGTGGAAAGAACAGACAGTAAAATCATCATCAGAAACCTCAAGGCTAACGTTCTCTGAGTTATTCTCACTACCATTAAGTCAAAATAGCATGTAAGTGATGAAAAAGTTGTAATAACACACTACTCTTGGAAGCAGTTACTTACATATTGACTTGGGAAGTTTATCACCACATAAACTTGTAGAGGCAATACCAATAGTCTCTGCTTTAATGTATCATAAGCTTTGCAATTCAAAGATTTTCCAGTATAGAATGAAGACTTGAAACCCGACGACGGAACAGCGGTTCTAGCCTGAAAGCTGGCACCCCAGTTTGCCACCTGTTTGTATCATATATTTCACTCCATGCCTGTACAATCTCATCAACCTTGAACCCTGGAATAGAAAAGGTGCAAGATTTTAAAGAAAATTACACAAGGAAAACATAAAAGAACCAATTAACAAAAATCTTATTCATATTTTACCTTCCATAGCAGTTTCATTGGAACAGTGGTTCTTTATCATGACTGCAATATCAGTTTGAGATGCTCCAGCTAGTTCAAACTTTTCAACTGCAACCTCTAGACATTCTTCCCAGGTTGGTAATCCTATCTTAAATTCCACGACAGAACGTTCATAGAGAATGGTTCCCCATAACAGGTAAATCTGAGACCTCATGTTTTCAGCTTGCTCTTTAGCTTCTCCAGCTGGTTTATCTTTAAGTATACCTTCCAAACCCCTTTTCTGCAACTGAGCTTTATATTCATCGTGTTTCGAGAGTCCATTTAGACACTGTTCTTCCATCTCTTCCCACATTTCGATCCCTCTTTCTATACTATCCTCAGCCTTGTTATAGAGCTCCAAGATCTCTGCACATGTCCCTGTCTCTAACTCTACTTTACTACCAATCAAATAGTACCAAGAGAGTTTTGCTTGTTCAAACTGCTGCTGACCGAGTGAAAGAAGGCTTTCGTAGAAATCTGGCTTGACTCTAAGAGCTTCTTCATATCTCATTTCTGCCATTTCATATTCTTTTTCTGCCCATTCATATGCAGATTTAACCTGTTCAGATACCGACTCCCCAGAACCTTCTTCTGTGAAAAACACTTCTTTTCTTGCTCTAGACATATGCACATTTCCCCAATTAAACAAAGACAAAGCTGCCATCTCTTGGAACTGAGCTGAAGCAATTTCAAAAAGCTCTTCTGCTTCTGCATTTGTAACAGTGTCCTCCATAGCTTCTGAATATAACTTCATTCCTGTATCGTGAAGATCCAGATATGAGTCACAATCCACTCCAACATGATTCTTGAATAGCGTAGCAAATTGGACAATCCAGTTCCCGGGGCATGTTGGCCCTTTATCCAGTTTCCTCTTTTCCTTCGTGACTATAGTTGATGTGCAAATACTGAGATTCACATCTTTTTCAACCCTCATTGCCTCATACATAGGTTCTTCATCAGGACTAACTTCTGTAATGTAGAGTCTTAAAGAACCCCGAGTATCAACGGATGATTCAGCCAACCTGAGCTCATCAGTAGTTGTGATAGTAACCAAGTCACCTTCTTGATCCCTATACTTGATAAGTGCACCCTTCAAGTTTGGAAATCGATCTTGAACTACGTCTCTCACAAGTTGAAAACTGCAACTAACTGGTAACTGTGCACATCTTATATCCTCCCCGAGAACCAACTTCACTGTTCTTGTCGCTGGTTTTTCTTCCTCAACGCTTCTCTTCTCCTCCACAACCACCTTGTCCTCTGTCTTCTCTTCTTTGACCCCATCAACCTTAGCTTCCTTAATCTCAACAGCTTTCTTTCTATCAAATTTATTGTTCTTTTTCTTTTTCATGTTATCCTTCACAACATCGGTAGATAGTGGAGGTGGCAATACTAATTTTTTATATTCAACATTAAGAAACTTTTCTTCTATTCCCCTTTTAACCTTATCTGCAATCTCCAATGCAGTCAAATTATTAGGTTCAATACTCAAAACATGGTTCACATCCCTTAAAGCTAAGTCAAGCCTATTCAATGATTCATAACACTTTGCTCTCTTCAACAAAGCTTTACTATATTTTGGAGCAACTTCAAGTGCCAAGTTACATTCATTTATAGCTTTTGGTAGTTCCCTAATACCCATTTGCATGTAGCAAGTAGCCATGTTGCTATGCAAATAGGCAACATCAATATGATTCCTAGGAAGTAATTTGATGGCTTTTTCATACTTCAACATAGCGCCCTCGTGATCGCGTTTCTGAAAGAGCTTGTTTCCTTCTTCCTTCAGTTCTTGAGACATCTTGATAAACACAGCTGTGTCCTCATCAAATGCTTTGGATTTATGCTCTGAAGCAGCTTTACTATGTTTCACATTTCCAGCATTTGATTTTGATTTTACATGACTTTTCTTTTTCCCTGAGGGCTTTCCCATGGTTGTGTACCCCTATAAGCTAATCTATACAGCAGCCTAAAATCAATGCTTCACAACTTTGATTTAGTCCTAAAAACCAGATAGAAAGGTGGAAAATGCTAATTATTCAACCAGAGAAAATGAATAAATAAGAAAATTAAAGCAATTATATAGAAAATTCATATAATTGATCTACAATCGATACAAGATTAAAAATGTAATTAAATTGATTGATAGACCCAAAAAAGGGAGAGAAGGGATGAGAATATATATGATGTTTGGAACAATGAGAAGAAAGTCCTAAACACTAAACAGAATCCTTAAAAACATTCAGAAGAAAAAATACTTCACTTTTTAGTTGTCTGTGGCCTGTTCCTTGTCTGATTCTAACACAAAAGGTGGCATCTATAGAAGAGAAAGGGAAATGTTGATAGAAAATGAAGGATTTCTTTTCTTTTCCCTTCCATATTTGCTGCCTTTTTGCGTTCACGTCATATTCGCTTTTAACAAGACGTGCCTGCATGATTTTGAACAAAGGCTGTGGACCCTCTGAATTTGATTTTATATTTGGTTTTAAATTAAACCAATTTACAAAAGTAATCGCCTTTTTCGATTTTATTTTAGAAGAAATTGATTTTAGAAATTATTGTGTATGCTTGTACATGGAAAAATAATAAACAAAAATTTATTAAACGTATATTTATGTTACTATATTCTAGAATTACCAGAAAGCCAATTGATTTACTATATAATCAGACGAAACGATAGATGCGACAGTAGGGCGAAGGTAGAGGGGTTATCCAGTCATAAGGTACAAACAGTTAAAAATAATAGTAGTAAATTCAGATAAAAAAGAATTATAGAGACCTAAATAAAAAAATAAAAAAAAGGGACCGAGATAAAATTTGTTAATCTGAAATCAAAATTGATTTTCAAACTATTTTTTAAAGATTACAATTTTTATGTCCAAACGCTTACTAAGTCTTGTTAATGGGTAGCGTGGTCTTTTCCGATCAGCGAAACTTATCCTGTCAAACCTAATAAAAAAGCATCTATGATTTTGTACTAAATTTCACTTACCATATTCGATAAAAACCTAGATCAATTGTTTTGTTTTGAGGAGAAATGGTGCCCGAAAACTAATACATTTTGTCTTTCCTCGAGGATATGTTAGTTTTGGGAGGTCTTTCTCTTTACTAAAGAATATGTATTAATTTCAATTGACTCAGAAAATAATATAAGAATAAATAATCAATTATTGGAGATTCGAGGTAAATGTGTGAAAATTCCATCTCATAAAGCCACTTATGGTTGGTGGTTAGACGAATTTATGGGGAAGGACAGTGACATTGAACGTGAAGCCTTTCTTGCTATATGGTTTTCGCTATTTGTATTCCTAAGATCCACCTACAGTAGCATTGTAAAAGAAGTTTTTCCCTTAGCAATTTATCTTGCTAGAGGCGACAAAATCTCGCACCTACTATTTATAGGAGTATAACATTCTCTGGTAAATATAGATCTCAATAGATGCTTTCAAGAAAAGCAAGAGCAAGCGAAATGTTGTTACCTTAGCAAGACAAATTGCAATGGGGAAACTTCTTTACAATTTATGTAACTTAGGCAGATTGTATTTATAGAAAAAAGAACGTAAGAAAAACTAAGTACGTTTTAACTTTTATATGAATTTACTTGGTGTATTACATTTAACAATGGGAGAAATTTAAAAATAGCCAGATTTACAACTGGTCGTTCAAAAATAGCCCAGTTCAAAAGTAATCGAAATTTAGTCACTTTTCATGTAAAGATAAATCTCAGCGAAAACACAGTTCAAAACCTGGAAAATATGCCAGTATATTATACTGGAGTTCCAGCATAAGTATGCTTGAACTCCAGCATATTATACTGGAGTTCCCGGATAAGTATGCTGGAACTCTAGCATAATATGATGGAGTTCCAGCATAAGTACACTAGAACTCCAGCATAATATACTGGAGTTCCAGCAAGTATAATTGTCCAGTATAATATACTGGAGTTTGGAGCACTGGTGCTCCAGTCTCCAGTATATTATACTGGAGTCAACAAAGTATACTGGTCCAGCATAATATGCTGGAGTTATACACAGGTGCACCGAACTCCAGTATATTATGCTGGACCGGTCTTTGTTGCAGCAAAATAGTGGCTATTTTTCATTGATTTCGTAAACGTTGGCTATTTTTGAATGACCAATCCGAAAACTGGCTATACTGTGCTATTTTTACGGAAAGAAAGGCATCATGTTCTATTTCACTACCTTCCTCATACATTCATCTAACTACCAACCATCAGTGAACATATGAGATGGAGTTTTCATTCATTTACTTCAAGCCTCCAATAATTAATTATTTATTCTTATTTGATCTTCTGAATTAAGAAAGTTAATACATATTCCCCTGGCAGAGAAAATTACCTCCCAAAATCATCATGTCCTCTAAGGTGATAGTTACTTCGCCTCAAGGAAAGAGATATGTATTTGTTTTTGGCACCATTTCTTTCCAAAAGCTAACAACTAATAAAGGTTTTTACGGATATGGTAAGTGAAACTTAGTGTTGAATCGTAGTTTCCAACTGCAAGAGGACCAGGAGCATTATACCAATGGATAAATAGGAAAAGAACTTGTGACGACCTGGCCAGTCGTCTTAAGAATTTACGCTCCGATCCCCTATTAACTGCTTTCCCCGTATTTATTTCTGCTATTTTGATTTACCGGGATGTTCGATTTGAGTTTCGGAGAGTTTTGGGACACTTAGTCCCTTAATGAGAGCTTAAGTTTTGGAAATTTGACCATAGTCGGAACAGAGTGAAGACGGCCTCGGAACGGAATTCTGATGGTTCCGTTAGCTCCGTTTGGTGATTTTGGGCTTAGGGGCGTGTTTGGATTGTGTTTTGGAGGTTCATAGCTAATTTAGGCTTGAAATGCCGAAAGTCGAATTTTGAAGTTTCCGGTTCGATAGTGAGATTTTGATCCGAGAGTCGGAATAGAATTCCGGAAGTTGGAGTAGCTCCGTAGTGTTGAACGTGACGTGAGTGCAAAATTTCAGGTCATTTGGACGAGGTTTGATAGATTTTGATAGAAAGCGTAAATTTAGAGTTTTGGAGTTCTTAGGCTTGAATCCGTGGTTGATTCATCGTTTCGATGTTGTTTTAGGTGTTCTAAGGATTGGTATAAGTTTGGATAGTGGTATATGACTTGTTCGTGCTTTTGGTTGAATTGTCGGGGGCCTCGGGATGATTTCGGGTGGTTAATGGGAAGTTTGGAGTTGAGAGTTTGCAGCTAAAGTTTCAAATCTGCTGTCATAACCGCACCTGCGGCTTGGGGACCGTAGGTGCGAGCCCGCAGAAGCGATAAGGGGAGCCGCAGATGCGGCCAAGAGGAAGATGGGCTGGATCCGCAGATGCGGGAGTTAGGCCGCACCTGCGAGGTCGTAGAAGCGGGATGCATGTCGCAGCGGAAATGTGGCCTTAAGTGAATTGTCACAGATGTGACCATGTCCTCGCAAAAGCGGGACCGTAGATGCGGTCCCAGAGCTGCACAAGCGGATTAGCTGGGCAGAAACATATAAATACTTGCCTTCGCGAAATTTAGCTATTTTTCACCTCTTTTCAAACGGGGAAGGAGCTTTGGAGAGCATTTTCAAGAGGGATTTTCAGAGGAGTTCATTGGGGTAAGGTCTTTGGTCCCTAAACTCGTTATTGGAATGATTTTTATCATTTTAAGCATGAAAAATTAAGGAAAAATCAGTGGTAAATTGAGGGTTAGGGCTTGACTAATTAGAGACCTTTGAGTGATGATTTGATGGACCATTTGAGTTTCGATTTTGGTACTTTTGGTATGACTGAACTCGTGAGAGTGTGAGGATTCTGGAAATGTAAATTTTACCCGATTCCGAGACATGGGCTCGAGGGGAGTTTTGGTTATTTTACCTAATTTCACGTATTAACTTAGAGTTGGTTTGTAGAATCAGTTACTTGAAGTGTTATTTACATTATGCAATTGAATTGAATAGATTTGGGCCATTTGGAGTCGAGTACTCATGGCAAGAACATGGTCTCGGGTTGATTTTGAGTCGGTTCGAGGTAAGTGGCTTGCCTAACCTTGAGTGGGGGACCTTCCCCATAGGATTTGGTATTATTGATAATTGAAATGCCTTGTACGTGAGGTGACGAGTGCGTACTTGTGCTAATGGTTGAAAATCCAATTTTCATTAAGTAATTACTAGTATGTTTCCCTTCATGTTTTTATTACTTGTACTATTAAGCCTGTTGTTAGCTTAGGAAAGCATGTCTAAGTGATTTAATTGCCTTATTTGCTCAAACTGCTTTACCAGAATTTTGTGCAGCATGCTAGGCTAGAATTACGTGTTTACCTTAATATGAAAATTGACATTTCTGAATATTTTTCCTGTTGTTGCTGTGTATTTACATTGGGACTACGGATGTGGGATTCCGGTAGCTATCCCTTCTCTATTTATATTTGGGACTACGGATGTGGGATTCCGGTAGATCCCCCTGCACAGTTATATGGAACTACGGGACTGCACCCGGTAGATTCCCCCAGTACTGGGTATTTACATTTGGGACTACGGAACGGGATTCCGGTAGATCCCCGCGCACTATGAGTTGGACTACGAGACAGTATCCTGGGAGATCCCCGATTGTTATTTTTGGTGCTGAGCCGTATTTCTTTCTGTGTTTACCTTGCCTCTGTAATAGCTGTTGCTGCCCTTTATATCTTGTGTTACTTTTACTACTATACTTATTTATACTGTTCTGTCCTACACTGTCGAACTTTATATTTATTTAACCTCAGTAGGGCCCTGACCTTCCTCGTCACTACCCGACTGAGGTTAGGCTTGGCATTTACTGAGTATCGCTGTGGTGTACTCATGCCCTTTCTGCGCATGTTTTTCATGTGCAGATCCAGGTACTTCGACCCAGTCCTATCACCCTTGAGGCTAGGCGACTGTTCCAGAGACTTTGAGGTATATCTGCCGCGTCCGCAGATCGATAAGTCCCTTTCTACTCTCCCTATTGTATTAGACCTTCTGTATTTCTTTTCTTGGTTAGATATTCTGGAGCTAGACACTGGTAGATATTCTAAGGCTTGTGGTTTCATGAGATTCTGGGTTTTGGAAAAATGTATTAGTTTTTGAGAGTTAATGTTATGTAGTCGAGCGACACTTTAAACACTGTTTTATTACACTATTTTTGTTTTAAATTGTTTATCTTCCGCAAATTTGGTTTATCTTTCGTATTTTAGGCTTACCTAGTTGTAGAGACTAGGTGCTGTCACGATGGTTCACGGAGGGCGAACCGGGGTCGTGACAAGTTGGTATCAGAGCTCTAGGTTCATAAGAGTCTTAAATCACAAGCCGGTTTATTAGAGTCTCGCGGATCGGTACTGAGTCGTCTGTACTTATCTGCAAGAGGCTATGTAACTGTTAGGAAAATTCCACTTCATTTGATTTCCTTGTCGTGCGAGATTTGATGTCACAATTCTAAACTTCTGTCTTCTATTCTCTCACAGATGGTGAGGACACGTGCTACCCGAGATGATCAGGCACCCGCGCCCCCTATTGCAGCCGTCAGAGGCCGGGGCCGGGGGAGAGGCCGAGGACGCGCATGTGGTGCAGCCAAAACACCTATGCGAGCTGCCATCGAGGTACCATCAGCAGTTCCAGCTGGATTCCAGGCACCTGATACGCTTACTGCTACTACTACTCCAACACTTCAGGAGACTCTGGCACAGTTCATGAGCATGTACACCACTTTGGCTCAGGCAGGGTTGCTTCCCCTTGCTGCAGATACATCTCAGGTCGGGGGAGGAGCACAGACTCCCGCAGCCCGCACTACTGAGCAACGAGTGCATGTTGAGCAGGTCCCTGAGATTATTCCTTTATAGCCTGCAGTCCGACATCAACCCGAGGATAGGGCAGTGGTTTCCGAGGATGAGTAGCTGAGGCTTTAAAGGTTCAAGAAGTACAAGTTTCCTGTATTAAGTGGTTTAGCATCGGATGATGCTCTGGGATTTCTATATGAGTGTTACCGCATTCTCCGTACCATGGGTATATCAGGGTCGAGCAGGGTTTCCTTCACTACTTTCTAGCTTCGAGGAGCCGCCTATGAGTGGTGACGCACCTATGAGTTAGACAGTTCGGATGAGGCTGCTTCACTGACTTGGACTCAGTTTTCAGATCTGTTCTTGAGAGAGTATGTTCCTTAGAGCCTCAGAGACGAATGACGCGCAGAGTTTGAGTATTTGCGCCAGGGTGCTATGACTGTCTCAGAGTATGCTGTCTGTTACACTAGTTTGGCTAGACATGCACTAGCCTTGGTTTCTACTGTTCGCGAGAGGGTTCGCCAGTTTATTGAGGGCCTTATTCCCAACATCAGGTCTGGCAAGGCTTGTGAGTTGGAGATGGATATTTTTTATCAGTAGGTGGTGAGCATTGCTAGGAGGATTGAGGGTATGCATGCAAGGGAGAGAGAGGAGAGGGAGGCCAAGAGGTCTCGAGAGTCGGGCCATTATTCTAGTGCCCGTGCCCCAACTGCAGGTCGTCATGGTAGGGGTTATATGAGTCGCCCTGGTCGTTCAGCTC